TGGAGGCTTCCCGCATTACGGCACACAAAAGGGGCGACAGGAACTTCCATGTCTTTTATCAGCTATTGAGGGGTAAACACGGACAGGCGTCTCCAATCATTATTTTTGGCGTCTACTACTCCCCTAAAGATAGAATCCGTCGCTGCTCTTGTTTCATTGAGGGTCGGTGATGCCTGGAAAGGCTTGTGAGTACATTGCGGTGATGTGTGAAGCGTTGTCTCTCTGTTGTAGGGGCCAGCGAGGAACTGCGCACGTCAATGGGACTAATGGATGACGAGGCGGCCTACCGCATGCTGCGACCGCAAGACACCACCACGTTCCTCCAGAAAACGTTCTCCAAAGAGCGGCAAATACCTCATGGAGAAAAAGAGACAGAGGACGGAAACATCGTCCTGAAGGAAGTGGATCGAGTGAGGTGACAGTTTGCCCCGTTCACTGTCTGGTTGACGAAGCACGGCGAAAATAGCACGTACCTCCCTAAAAGGCAGAGTATAGAAGGAGCTAGTATTTACTTCTGTCAGTTCCTCTGTGGCATTTTTTAACTCTATGCTTGCCTTGTGCGCCGTTGCTTTACAGCGCAACTTCGAGTCAATGGTCGAAGCACTTGAGCGTGCTGATTTCTCGGCTGCTGAAATCGATGAACTGCTGCAACTTCTCGGGGGGCTTCTTCACCTGTCCAATGTCTCCTTTACAAGAGGCAAAGATGACAGTCTGCAGCTTCAGGACCCAACGGCAGAAGATGCCCTCGACCGCGCAGCGTCGTTGCTTGGCTTGGAGGGGAAAGGACTTGAGGAAGTGTTGAAGTGCCGCCGAATCGTTTTGAAGGGGGATGTTCTTTGTACCCGAAGAAACGAGCAGCAAAGCAGCAGCGTCTGCTGTTCTCTTATCAAATTTATCTACAGCCGTTTGTTCGACCACATTGTGCAGCGGTTGAATGAGAGCGCTGCTAGGCACGTGCAGGGGCAGCAGCATGCAAAACAGCAAAATGATCGCGATAACCTGAAGTCGATTGGGAGTAAGCAATTTTCATCTAACGCACGAGGGCGAAGCTCGCCACATGCATTCACTCCGCATTACACCAAGTAGCAAATTGCCACTTCTACTTTCCAAGTACCTCCCTTCCAGCGTCAGTGGAGCCATTCGCCAGTCCTGTGCCATGCACTACGTAGTCACTTGCCACACAATATTATCTAGCGACCATCACTCTGCTCGCATCGTAAAGTATGCATTAAAGCGTGGTGCATGTTTGTTCGCCTCAGTACTCGACATCTACGGTTTTGAGTCCTTTGGGCTGGAAAACGGACTGGAGCAGCTCTGCATCAATTATGCAAACG